TGGTTGGTAACTTTATACAAAGGAATTTTTTCATGGGGTCAACACTTTTTGATTTGACACAGTTTGAGAGGAAATAATCTAACGATATATTTTGAATATTGATGGTTGATAATATTTTACTGCGAATAACAATTTCTTAGGGACATTTTTGACAGCGCGTGTGAGACCAGTTCTTAGCATTTTAATATGCCCAGTAGTGTTTTTTATTTTTTATTTTTTGTCTATTACTATTACCATTATTTTCAACTGAAAATCCATTACTGCAATAAAAATAGTGTTTTTTATTTATTATTATTAAAATATAAAACTAAGTGATGTAAAAAAAAAAAATCTACTATATATAAAATATAGTAAAATATATTCTAAGTAGGTTTTTAGTTTTATAAGATTTTTGGTTGGTAAAGTTTTTTTTAGTTTTAGTTTTTATTATGTTTTTGAAAGAAGTGTCTTATGCTCACCACGTTTGCATTTATTTGATGAAAAACACAGTAAAAACAGTAATATTGTGAAATAATACTATAATTTAAGTTCACTGTTTTCTATTTGAATATCATTTAAAAAGTAATTTATTCCTGTGATTTACATTAACATTCTAGTATGCTTATTGATAGTGCACATGAAACATTTCTTATTATCAATGATGAAAACAGCTGCATGCATTTTTTGTGGAAACTCTGATACTTTTATTCAGGATTCTTTGAAGAATAGAATGTTCAAAACAGCATTTATTTTAAATAAAATATTTTGTATTGTTAAATGTTCACTCTAAAAAATGCTGGGTTGTTTCAACCCAATTTTGGGTCAGATATGGACTAACCCAACTGTTGGGTTAAAAACATAATTTAAAAATGTAACCAAAATTGAACCCAACAGTTGGGTTAGTCCATATTTGACCCAACATTGGGTTGAAACAACCTAGCATTTTTTAGAGTGTTGTTACTGTCACTTTTGATCATTTTAATGATGCTTGCTGAATAAAAGGATTATTATTATTTTATTGAACACTATAAATAACTAAGACAAAATGGATAAATTTCTAGATGACCAATCATTAATTTGTATTATTAAATCTGAAATTCAAATACAGTTGTGCAGCTTAATGTTTTCGTGGAAACTGATACATTTTCAGAAAAGAAAAAAATATAGATGCTTCATTCA